AATACTAACCCCTACCCAGACGGGAAATTTTTTGTTGACCTGAATGGCCCCGGAATTCTACGCGACGAGCAAGATCAATCGCAATAACATAAAAAGAGACATTGGCCATCACATTTTAAACGGTTTTTTTTTTAAGTTTAAAAACTTCAAAAAAGAGCAAAGAGAAACCTCGAAAGCGACCCATCCTACCATCTTTTGAAAAAGGCACTGAAAAAAGTGCAGTGATAGCTTGAGAGACGTCTTTATTCAATGGATGTACACACACACACTCTAGCTATACACACAGAGAGAGATTTGCAATTACGTTTTGGAAGGGAAAAATCTCATCTAAAGGTTAAACTTCAACAAAAAGTGAAGAAATACCACAAAAGGTACTTATCGTTGCATCTTTTGAAGGAGACGATGAAAAAGTACAGTACGCAAGCTTCAAACACATCTTCATTTAATGGCTGGCTTCGCTTAAAAGTTACCTAGTTAATAATTGATCTTGTTTATCGTCATGACAACGAAATTCTCCGGGGGAGTACTCTTTTACATTTGCCTTCTAGGTTTTGAGCTGATAAAGAAATCAGGAGTAAAGATTTGGCAAACGGAACAATTCCCAGGAATACGCCCCGGATTGATCGATTAATCATTGATAGAGGCCGTTCACTAAACAAAGAAATATCCAAAAATTCCGGTGGGTACTTGCTCACATTAGTTGCCTTATAGATATTCATCTTTAATAACAGTCCACAGTCAGGATTAAGAGACTGAATCGACACATCCCCACCGCGAATTGCTAGGGATACACCCCCGGAGAAAAAATCGACGGTATTTTATAAAGGCCAGCCTACGGCAAGCCCAGTTAATGAGGGATTTGATGAGTTTTTTCCAAATTTAAGCCTCCTTTACAATCTTATCTTCAGATTGCAGCAACTTTTAAAAGAATCCGTTTGACGTGACTTGGGCGAACTCGAAGAGGTGAAACAAAACAACTGGAAAAAGGATTAAAGGAGCGTTGACGGCGATGACAACTATACTGATGTGATTTGACACACTACAATTATCCCTTACTGTATTATGAATGACAAATTGACTCTACTTTAAAATAATCACTGTAGATTTGCTTTAAAACGAAGTTTACCTTCTCACATCAGTCAAAAAGTAGCAAGCTTCTCTTCAGGTTGACCGTCTGGCAAGGCTAATACGCCGACTATCTCGGCGCTCCATTAATTAGCATACGACTGACCCATATGTTCGTGGGCGCATTATATTTTCCAAGAAATGACTACACCCAAGCTACGGTAAATCCTGGGTAAAAATATTTATTTCCAGAAGGCAACCAACATACAATACCATACACTGATAAACCCTTTAATGATATAATTATACAAAAGCAGAAGTTCACACCAACTTTTTATCAAAGCGAACATTTTGGTTTATATTATGATTATAATAAGTAATACTATGACGTCACGGCACAGCGGTGCCATTTGTTCCTGTATAACACTCCTCACAGGTACAACCTATATTATAATGGGATCTGGCTCCATGGCAATGCTACAGTTGGATAACTTTGAAAATTTTTGATAACAGACAACCATAACCAGTGTCACAAATCTCTTGCAAATCAGAAGCATTCATTAAATCAGACAAATCAGTTTCACTCTCAACCATTTTGCAGTACGATATTTAACAATTATTCTTTGAAATCGAGGTAAACATTCCCAAAGCCACTATTCACCGAGATTGAAAAGAATAATTGTTTTAGTATATACGCACGAAGTGATCTCAACAAAATCAGAGAGGAAACCATTAAAAAGTACGATTTGGTTGACAGATCAAATCACGCGTAAGTTTAAAAATAGATCTTTGCAGAATTTTCAAACATGGCAATTCACAAGTTTATCATTTCGCAAACAACAGCGTAATGGCTTAAATGGAACCGCTAAAAGTTTGAACTGTTTCCTTACCTGAAAAGAAAAGTAGAGCTTTGTTGTTTTCTGTTGACTCGCCAAGTTTATAGCCATATAGGGTTTGTTGTGTCGTTCTTCGCATGAAGTGCTGACAAAAATGGCAGCTCGGTTGCTCGAGGTAAGACGTCGTCTTCCTGTATCATTCTTCCTCCTGTTTACTTGAAACGTAGAATGTCCGCAAACATTTTCTTTTAAATTTGTTTCTCATAAATAAACTTCGATTTTTGAGCCAAAATTTTCTTGTTAGATAACGCTGAGTTCACGAAACAGCTTCTTCTACGCGAATACACGGGAGTTGTAAACAATCCATCGAGCACAAAACTCAGCTACAGTAAATTGAAAAACGCCGTATTGAATCCTTCCAAGTCTTTTCTTGACTTAAAAAAAGTCAGCCCTAGGATTTTGTCGACTTTTAAAAGATCGTTCTCTAAAGAAATGGGAAAAACACCGAGCTCACACATTATCCACTCGCTAGGAGGTAAATATTGTTGAATAGTCCGAGATAGCGAACCAATCAGATTGCTTAAATCACCAAGATCACTGAGTGTGTAAATACTAATAGATAATATATCATGTTATCATGATACTGAAAGGAATATGATAAATGTTGTGAAAATATGCATGGAAATAGTACATAATGATATAGATGTTTTTATTAATTATGGTAGGGTAGTAGGTTTAGGACTATCAAATGAATATACCAACTTCCACGAAAATAGGTACAAAATTAAAAGAAAAAGTGTGTATATTAGAAATTATCATATTATGAATACGATTACTTTAATTCAGAAATACAACATACAGATACCGTAAAATTCCGAAAATAAGCCCCTCCAATTCATAACGCAAAAAAACCTCCGTTGAATCGCCCCTCCGAATATAAGCCCTCGGGGGTTTGTATACTTGGAAAGTTCCCCTCAAATACAAAGTAAAACAGAGCAAAAAACGGTGGGTTCAACAACATATAAATTATTGTATTTGCCAAACTTGTTACGTGTGCCAAATGATTGCAGTCATCAGAAAGTGTCACAGTTTATTACTGTTTGCGTCGGTTCCTCTTCACTCTTGGCTTTGATTTCCTCGGTCCATATAGACAAAGTACTTCCATGGCTACGTTTTGGAAAGGTCTACGTCCTTAAAGCGAGTTTCAGTAAAAACCTTCTGCAAATTGCTGACATAAGTTTCCTTTCAACTATAAGCTTGCCCAACGATTTTGACTGAGAGGCAAATTTCCCTCCTGTGAGCTGATCCCACTCGTTGCAATTGCTGATGCTAAACCTCCTATTGCAAAAATTATTGAAAGGCTATTACAAGAAGTTTAAATTTAAAAAGGAAAATTTTCCAGCGCACGGCCGTCATCGATCACATGTTATCCCGCATTCCTTGTCATCAAGTGAACTTCTGGGCAAAAGTAATTGCTGTTTTGGCGATGATGCAAACTGGTGTGTCTATCTTGAAAACAATTTCTTTGGTATTCTGTGATTTATGAGCTGGGAGATGAAATAGTTGTCCATCCAACATCAATAAAAAACCATGCCACTGAATAAATGGCAGGCGGTCATCTGAAATCATTACAAAAGTACATTCCAAAACCTGGTCTAACCTGTTCGACGCCTACTTACGCTAAAGGTTTGGATCACTTAGGTTTGAAAAGGTCTCCAAAAAAAAAACACACATCTATATATAGGGCATAGCACAAACGGCTGGCCCATCACTTATGAGGTTCATAACCTGTATATTGTTCACGTCCTTTCACTAATGGTACAAGTCAATGTCAAAAATAATGCATGTCCCCTCCGTTACTCTGCAGTACTTCATTCGCTTAAGTTAACCATTTACCAGAACAATTTTCATTGCACCTTAGTGTTTCCATCCTTTTTCCACTATTGATAATACTTGGGAAAACATTACATCCGCTGCAACGGCATTGATCACAACACAAATGATTTCCTCTCGACCCCACAGGGTATCAGGAACGCGCGCGGGAGTACAAGATTAAGTAATGACATACGCTTCGTACATTTTACTCTACGTATACTACAAATCAGGACGAAACTTTACAAATTGTTGTTTCTAAAAAAAACAATTTGGCCCATAGAGTAACGTCATCGCACAAAAATTCAGCAGCGTCAAAAATCTAGCCGAAAAACAAAGATACATATTTCAGACAATCAGGGACAAAAGTAGTTGACACACTTGTTTAAAACGGGTGCTTTTAACAAAAATTTAATTCATTTATTATTTCATTCTTTTTAAACGCCGTAAATCCCCTCACCCCCCGAATCGATGTTGTCTGAAGTAAAAAAAAGACTTGAGGGTCCAAAATTCAACATTGATTTTGGGGGGAAAGGGGTTGGGGTAGACAGGGGAAGGGAATAAGTATATCCACCATGCAAAAAGGGGCCATTTTACGGAACTGTGTCAACACTTTTGTCCCTCATTGTAGTTGTGATTTAGGAAGTCCGTAAAGAATAGCGTTACGTACAGTAGTCGAGTTTGGATGTACATATAATAATAATGTAATTTGGATGCATTGTCTCATAGTCCGTTTGAGACAGAAATCTACGAATTGTACCAATGTTCTTAGGCTGACTTGCAGATATTGTTCAGATGTTTGTCCAACTGTACCTTATTGGGTAACAGGTCATTATCGGTAAGATAGTTACAGGTTTGTGTGGCAGCAAGACGTTCGATAGTCTTAGAGAGAAACGCAATATTTGTAATAGGGCGATAACTGGAGTATACACGACTTTCATAATGGCGGACGGCGCGCCGGACTGGGGTTGATTTCAGCATGGAAACGAGGCCAGTGAGGCCACGCATGGTTTGAGTTGTAAACAAATCACAAGATCAAAGGGTCTTGATCGCTTTATTCAGGCACAATATCTGTTCAATTTAGTTCAATTACTGACCGCGATACCGTATAATTATCAAGAGCGAAATGCCAACTCACTGCTGTGTGCCAGAATGCACAAAGAAAGGCTGCCGTGATGAAATGGAAACAAAATATCTTTCTTTAAATTTCCGATCGATGACCCTCAGTTAAAGAGGAAATGGCTACACGCTATAAGAAGAGATGAAGGGAAGTACTTCAAAGTGACTGAGGCCACAAAAGTATGCTCCAGACACTTCAGGCCAGGTGAGATTAAGAAAACCCTCGCCGGTAAAAATGAACTGAGAGCTGGAGTTGTGCCTTCCGTGTTCGCATGGATTAGAACATCACCACGCAAGAGAAAGGATCCGATTGCACGAAACTTCGAAATACATGCAAGTAAATCAGCCCTTAAATTAAATGTTTCATCCGTAGATTTAACAGATGACGTTCCGGTTAACTCTACAAACGACGACTCAGTTGAATTCGCCGAGAGCGCCGATAGAAGCACGTCATTTTCTTGCAGTGTGAGAGATGCGGAGATGCAAACTGAACCGGAAATTGGAAGTGAGACAGAACTTAGACAGCAAGTATTGGAACAAAAATCTCAGTTGGAAATTGCCTTTCGACGTATTGGGGCGCTTCAAAAACAATTATTTTCGGTAGATAGATTTAAAGAAGATGACTCTTCAACGAGATTTTACACTGGTTTCCCAAATTGGAGCACATTTTTGGCTGTCTTTAATTATTTGAATCCAGGAGATGAAGGGGAAAACATAGCCTACTGGCTTTCTCAGTCAAACGTTTCTGTTCCAGCGGAATTCTATGACGAATCAGAGGGAGAACCGTCAAGAAAACTGGGCAGACCAAGAAACTTGAGGCCAATTGATGAATATTTTGCTGTTATGTGCAGACTCAGACAAGGCCTACCGGAAGAACATCTTGCAAATCTTTTTAACGTTTCAGTGTCTACAGTAAGTCGGGTTTTTATTACCTGGCTTAATTTTATGTACCTTAGGTTAGGGCAAATCAATATTTGGCCTTCTAGAACAGCTATTGACAAAACTATGCCGGAGGATTTTAAGAAAAAATATTCATCGACCAGAGTTATTATTGACTGCACAGAAGTTAGGTGCCAGATGCCAAGTAGTCTACAACTGAATGGTGAATTGTTCAGTAATTACAAACACCATACAACCCTTAAAGGTCTCATTGGAATCAGTCCCGGAGGTGCCATAACCTTTATAAGTCAACTCTACACAGGAAGCATTTCAGATCGGGAGATAGTTGCGAGAAGTGGTTTCCTTGATTTGCCTTTTGAAGACAATGACTCAGTCATGGCAGACAAAGGGTTCACCATTCAAGATCTGTTACCACTGGGAGTTTCCTTAAACATTCCCCCTTTTCTAGGAAGTTCTAGCCAAATGCCCGCTGAGGATGTTGTGAAGACTCAAGAAATTGCCAGCTTGCGCATACATGTAGAACGTGCAATCAACAAGATAAAAAATTTCCACATTTGGGATGGGGCTATACCCCTCCACCAGCTTGGCCTTGTAAACCAAATGTGGTCTGTGTGTGCGATATTATGCACTGTGCAACCCAACATTATTTCTATTTAACTGCAAGCTTAGCCAAAAAAAAAATCGTGTTAGTCATCCTCTCAATACATTGAAGCTACAAGTATTATGTTCCAACAAATTTTAATGACTATTGATATTAATTTTATTTTTGTAAATGTGTCACTGGTACTACCTTGAAACAACCTAACATTAACCTTGAAGTCTCCATGTGAACGGGATTGTGAACAGTCCAATTCTCCTTTAATGTCTCCCTATTTATTCCATATACATATGAAACTGGTGGGATGAATTTGTTATAATATCTAAAAATTTTTAACTGCGAATAATTTTTGTAAGTTTTGTCCTAAAAATATTAATAAAGAACCATAATTAAAGGGTGGCCTGTAAGGAGGATTTGTGTTGTTGAATCAGGCCAATAAATACATTGTCAAGACTGCCAAGGCAGACAAATGAATAGCCTGTTCCAGGTATTCAGATAGTGGGAAACAGAGCAAAATAAAGTGAACATGAAAAAGCAAAAAATAAAATAATTGCTAGCCAAAAAAATAATTGGCACCTGCTTTTACTTGCACCTTTCCCTACAATCTGAATGCCTGCAGCAAGATAAATAAAGCTATTTGTAAGCAATATAATTTACAAACAATATCAGTATAATAAAATGGGAAATGCGTCAAAATGCAGTTTTTTTGTGCACAAGTAGCTGAAACAGGTTAAAACAATGCATCTTAACACCAGGTGTACAATTGAAACATGCAACATATTGAGGAAATGTTCATTTAACCTAATGACCTTCAGCTGAAGTTTGAAAATCTGCTGCTGCAAATTTCAAAAAATGCTCAAAGTAATACTGAAGAAGTTCGGTCCTGAGGTTTTGCCAATAGGTTGCATCAAATGGTATTCTCTCAATGTAAATCCCCTTTCCAGTATACACCACTTGGCTCCAGTAACCCCCAATTGTCCTTGAACTTGGGCGTAATAAGGATGGTCCCTCTTAAGTTTGCACTCCGTATCACTGACTTTTTCCATGAAAAAGGTGGGGTCAGAGCAGGCCTCCAGGGGTGTCACATGGAATTTTGTGTGAGGGCATTTTACCTCGGCTAGCCCAAAGCAAAGTGACCATCCAAAGCCTTGTGCTGTGTCCTTGTCCTGTGCTTGGTGCATCTGGCGATGCACCAAGCACAGGACAACTTTTTTACACCACAAATCCACTCTTGAGAACTGCAACAGGGGTTTTTCTGTTTAACATAAACTTTTCATTTTGCTGAAGGGCAATAGGTTCATACTTTAAGCCATGTGTTACATACTTTGATGAAAAGGGCTTTGGATGCATCAGTGATTGAGCGAAACTTTGATGATTTCTTTGTCGCCTTGAGATAAGATGGTATTTGGAAGCTGTGAAGCGGTAGGTGTGTTGTGTCGTCCATTCATCACATCCTGCTTGTTCCCTGGTAGCACTTTCTATTGAATGAATTCTGTCCTCGTCAACAATTAAATCCTTGATTAACGCCTCTTCAGTCTCACTCAGCTCTCTTGGTACAACCATGTCATTATCATTATTCAGAGGAAATCTCGGACTGATAATTAAGTTCTTGGGCATTTACTGGAGCGTTGTTTCTTGGCACTGAGGTCAAATTGGCCACAGCGGAAAAGTTTGACTCAGTGAATGATGTCTGATAGCTCAAAATGGAGCCAACAGGGCATTTCCCAAATTTACAGCTTGCCAGCTCAGTACTTGAAGTTCCTTCACTCATTTGAGCAAAACCCATGTTAGGGTCAAGTGTGGAAAGTTCAGATTTGAAAGTATTTTCACGTACAGGATTATAGTTAGGCTGTTTGCGTGCTTCATACAGCAGGCATTTCACACCTGCACCACCTCGTGGGCTGCTCGACTCATCCAGTTTAGTCTTTTTCACAACAACCTCCATGACTGGTTGTGGGAAAATGTTTTCTCCACCACCTTTCTTGTGCCACTTTTGCAGCTGGGATGTGCATGCCAACTCTGGATTTTCATCTTTCTTTTCACGTAGATCTTTTGTGGATTTTGCCTCAAACAGAGTGAATTTGCAGATCTTTAGCATTAAGGCTGAGATATGGTTACAGAAACCAACCTTGCCAGCCACACAAGTACAGTTGCTGTCCAAAACATCCCCTTTGACAATACACAAGGCAAGTTTCAATGAGTGCGGAGGATCATTTTTCCTAAAGCTATGACAGCATTTAGCTTTGAAATAAAAACAATGCTGGTCACTGGTTGCCATTATTTCGTGAAGGTACTCGTCCTCAAGAAATGTTTTCGCCTTTCGCAGTGAAGTGGGAACAGAATGATGGTCTTTATTCGCTATGTGCTTGCCAGATCTTGTGATGTGTTCATTCATTTCTGCTTTAGTGAACATTGGCATTTTGGTCAGAGAAGTGCTCCATCCGTTGTCAGGATATGTAACAGGACTGATATCTGTGAGACAACAAGAAACAATTTTTGAATTTAAACGCGCACATAAATTACTTACAAAAATGGCAAGACAGATTGCAGTAAAATGTATAGAGAATAATCTCGCACCTTGTGATGGTTCTATGCTTGATGCCGACGGTGTACTTCTTCGTTGCTGCTTTCTTTTGGTATACAACCCGTTGGGATCAGGGTCAACAATACTTTTATCTCTACCAGACCGGATGTACTCTTCCACTCTGAGAAAGGAATAAAAACGCACTCACTTCAAAACGGCGAAGACAACGACTTGCAAGTGACGAAGGCAAAGGAAACAAAGTGATTTCTCACCTCTTTACAAGTTCTGCTTTCGTTTTAAGGCCTTTCGCTGGGTCACCCCTACACTTCAACCAAAACTTTAGCTCTTCGTTTTTCAATTCAGAGGGTTTTCGGCCGCAAAGTGAAGCGCCAGGAATATCATTTTCTTCGAGAAGCGACGCGCCCAACGTTGCTAACGCGGCCATGTTTGTTTTGTTGTGGCCTCACTGGCCTCGCTCTGATGTTGTAGTTACCATTCTTCCCGAGCTGTCCGCCATTATGAAAGTCGTGTATTGCTCAAGGTCGAGCGTAGGTTTCTTAAGGGTAGGTTGTACAGCGCCTTGTACAGCGCCTTACTATTTACAGTTACGCTAAGATCTCTAGTGGCAGGCGAAGGCGAAATACTGGCATCACCGGTCCAGATCTCTTTAATTAGCTCGTAATCGCGGTGCCGAGACGAGAGATGAATGTTTCCGGTCTTGCCAGAATTGAACATGAGGCCATTTGAAGAACACCAAGTCATAACATCGTTCGTGCAAAGTTGAAGTTTAGAAAGTTCACTATCCCGGCTACCAGAATCAAAGGAGATGTACAGCTGTGTGTCATCAGCGTACATGATGCATGTCAACCCATGTGCAACTATGATATCTTCCAATGGAGCGAAAAATTGGGAGAATAATATGGGTCCAAGAACCGATCCCTGCGGGACAACATGGGTGACAGGAACTTCAGATGACTCAGTGTCTTTAATTATGACAGACTGTGTGCGACCAGAAAGACAAGACTTGAACCAACATATAGGACTGTACTGGAGAGACCGTATCGCTTGTGAAGCGTTTCTAAGAGTGCGTCATGATCGCTATTGTCAAAAGCTGAGGATAAATCCAAAAGCACAAGAACGACTTCTCCATGTTGATCGATAGCCATGAGTATATCGTTACAAACACGAATCAGGGCTGTTTCTGTGTTGTGGAACATTCTGTACGCTGACTGGAACTTGGTTAACAGGTCATTATCGGTAAGATAGTTACAGGCTTGTGTGGCAGCAAGACGCCCGATAGTCTTAGAGAGAAACACAATATAGGGCGATAACTGGAGTATTGCTCAAGGTCGAGCGTAGGTCTCTTAAGGGTAGGTTGTACAGCGCCTATCTTCAGGGAACTCGGAAATGTACCAGTTGTAATAGACACGTGAACAATCTTGGTCAGCGGGCGTCCTAGTGCCCCAGCAGACTGTTTCACAACAGTGGTTGGTGGTGGGTCAATCCATGATGACGTAGCTGTAGATTTACTTATAACCTCAGAAATATAGCTCTCAGAGACTGGTTCCAAATAGCTCATCGAGCTCATTTACGCATAAACTATAATCTACATTTTAAACTAATCGATAACATTGTATTCCTAAACTTCAATGGTACAAGCCTGATGAATGACCGTATCACGGGCTCAATTGTCGACCCATCGAGGGTTTGTGTTTTTTAAAGTCTTCCGATGACAAATTTCTAGTTTTCAACTGATCGAAGGCTCAAGATTATTTTTTCCAACGCAACGCACAGGTAATAAGGTGTGTTCATGAGCCATCGGCCTCACTATTAAACTTTTGATTTGAAACTGACTTCGGGCGCGAAAAGCTAGCCAGGTTTTACTAGGAGGAAGAGAGGTGCAAGTCTCTTGCACTTTAACGACAAAAAACAATTGGCTTTGTTTAGCATGGTCACGCGTTGTCATGCTCTACGTCCCATTTTTATCTCAGATTAATCAAAAATCGATAGGTGAATTTATGCGGAAAATTTATGCAGCATGTGGAAATTAAAATTGCTTACTAATAGCTGAAGCTTATAGAGTTTTGTGTCATCTCCTTATGTTTTTAGTCGCCTTTTTCCACTGGATCTACAAAATGAAATACTGCTGCTATCAAGATTCTTCTGTTATTCTTGGCTCGTTTTTTTTGCGTTTTTGGTTGAGAAATGCACCACTTGTCAAAAAGTCATCGGAAATCATTGTTTTCAAAGATAATCTTCATCCTGCTGGACGCGTTAGAGGGTTGAAGAGTCTTTAGTGACTCTGGACTTACTTGAAGGTCTTCAGGAGCTGCATCTCGAACGGTAAGCTAGAGTAATTAGTGCAAATGATGTTTGCTTTGTCTCTTGTTTTATGAAGGCGCATGAAGCGTTGTTTATGCACAGCCTAGGGCTGCATGACGAAATTTGGCATTAGCTTTACGTCATGAACACGTCAACCGTAACTGAAGCCAAACTCAGCAGCCCCTATCTGTAAACGAGACAACGAGCATGCCGCGCGTTTCATATGGGAGTGGTTCTCCCCACCGGGGACTTCTGATTGGTCAAAACGGTTTTTCCTGGGTTATTCTGTGAAGTAACAAGTGTAAAGCATAGTTTGTGCCTCTAACCAGTTAAATGTCAGTTACGTCTTAACATTAAGTCATAACCATAATTTCAGTTAGCTGTTACCTTGAGTATATGAATGGAAGACAGTATTTATGATAGTTGTACATTAACGCGAGAACTAATTTGTAATGAGAGCTAGGCAGGATCAGCTTTATGGCAAAGTACGGTAGAAAGATGTCGGAAAAGACATGACACGAGCACAGCCTGAGACAGTTAACTGCAAAGCAATGATGGAGACAGGAACATAAATGGATAGACTCATAATGTACTTAAATATTTGCGGTAAATCCAGTTTCACCACGTTTGCAAATTCTGTCCGGACCACACCCCTCTGGTCAGGATCTTTACTCCTGTTAGCCCTTTGAGTAAGTAGGGACAATTTCAACGATGCAAAAGTCGCAGCAGTCTTAAACAACAACGAAGGCAATANGCCTGAGACAGTTAACTGCAAAGCAATGATGGAGACAGGAACATAAATGGATAGACTCATAATGTACTTAAATATTTGCGGTAAATCCAGTTTCACCACGTTTGCAAATTCTGTCCGGACCACACCCCTCTGGTCAGGATCTTTACTCCTGTTAGCCCTTTGAGTAAGTAGGGACAATTTCAACGATGCAAAAGTCGCAGCAGTCTTAAACAACAACGAAGGCAATATAAACCATTTGAATACATAAAATCCTGATAGTTGAGAACTGTTTGCAAAAGCAACATGACAAAACGATGTTGCCATGATCTACTTGATCTTACTATCTTAGGTGACAAACCAAGAATCAAAACTCATTATCCATTACAGGCATGTAAACATATTTGTGCAGTGTTCCTAGAAGCGAAATAGAGCGATTTCGTATGAACTTGAACCGCGAACAAAACAGAAACAACAAACGAACGGAAATAAAGCGATTTGATTGGTTTATCGAACAGATACTAACGGACGCGGCTTTTGGCCTGTTTGAGCGAACGCTCGGGTGAAAAAACCTTCATGCCCCAGAACTTTCTAGAAATCAACCGATACTTCGCTTTGACGTCATACTGCGACATGATTGGCCAATCGAACAATGCCTTTTCACGTTAGGGTTTTCTTTGGCGGGAAAACGAAGAGGCCATGTTTTGACCTATTCATCCATTGGCTGATGAAACGTAACAAACACTTACCGAAACCATTTTTCAAGGTTATACGAAAATCGCTCTAACATAAAGAGAAATGGGAAATAAATGACTGACATTTAGTTTTTGCTAGAAGATGATCGTTGCGTGATATAAAATATGGTTTCGCCCAAATATCTTGTTTTAGTAAAATCCAACTAGTGGTATATTGTCAATGCTGCGTTCTGATTGGTTGAGCTACTACTAGGCTATATGTTATAGCCCCCTAGTAGCGAAAAGCGTGGGCCTTTTGGCGGCAAAAAGGTATTAAAGTCTAGCTTTAACTAGTTGGAGTTTACTAAAATAATTATTCCTCTCGCCCTCATGGCCTCTAAGGCAATAGCCCATTCGGCGTTCGGCCTCATGGGCTATTGACGCAGAGCACATTCGGGCTCGAGGAATAATTGTTAAATAACATCTTAAGACTAAAGGAACAACAACAAAAAAAATACATCGATCGTTTTTTTACCATTTTTTGAGGTTAAAAAGTTCGTTTCTGTTTTTTGCAGTTGATCTAACGGTGAGATTTGTGAAACGCATGGCAAAAGAGAGGTTTTCGTTTCTTTGTTTCTTTTGACTAATTTGCCACAAGAGACAAGACCTGGTCACGTTGGCAAAAGAACAAAAGTCTCTCCAAGCCTCTAAGTTTGAGGAAGAATAAAAGAACGAAATATTTCTATATTTTTTATACTTACTAGTATCTCCTTAGCTGATTTTAACCGGAAAATTGGAGCATTTTAGTCTGAAATATCAAAACGTTGGCTAGCGAAGCCGGTGCGTTTCGGCATGTTTTCAAAACGGTATCAAGCGGGTATTGTTGTGAAGTCTCATGCAATTACGGCATAATTCTAAACTGACATATTATTTATGTTAATAAACTGCTTAGTCTAAGAATATTGCCGACAGATGAGCCAAAAAATAACAAGGGTACAACATTTTTTTCACGGAATTTCTTGATCAAGCTAATTTGCATAATTGACGGCGGTCGTGTCTTCAAAAAACACCAAAAATTCTCTGCGTTAAAGGAAGGTCAAAAGCGCAAAATATTTTTATATTTATATACTTCCTAGCATCTCCTTAGTTGAATTAAATAGAAAATCAGAGCAGGCAGGTCTGGACTCACGAAATATCTGCAAGCAAAGATAGGGTACTTTGCTGCGCTTTCAAAATGGTCTCTCATAGGTGCTAGTAAATTAATTTTTCTGTAGACAGTAGTTCAACAAAATTCAAAATTCACATGCTATTCACTTTGTTAATAAACACCATAACCTAGAAATAATAGCTATTTTTTCTCTCTTTATGTGGAATTGGAGTAGCCAGCTAAGTAACTTGTGCAATTTTCAGCTTTCGCCAGACGCAAATTTAGGGCATTCAGCAGTTTGACAGTTGAGCGCTCTGAAATGTGTATTTTGAAATATTTCCCCAAACGCGGAAAGTCGTTTGATTTAATTATGAGCTAAGATGATTTACTGCGCAAATTTTGAGGGAAAACTGTTTTTCGACCCCGAATACACCGGACCGGTTACTGCAAGGGATTTCTCTTTTTACGCCCACATTTCGAGCGAGCTAAAAGAACCGTTGAAACTTCTTTGACATAACAAGCGAAGCCGCAAACAAGAATAGAGCGAAACTCCTCATACCATTGCGCCTTTT